GCACATCCAAACCCATACCCTCAACCTCCCCCGTCTTCCTCCTCCTCCTCCTCCGCACCGGGCCCCGGTCCTCCCCCATTCCCACCCTCCGACCGCGACCGTGACCGGCCCCCTCCACCCTCGGCATCCCAAACCCCGACTCACACGCACCGTCCCCGCCCACCCGTGCCTCCAATCCCCCCTACCTCCGCCTCCACCAATGCCTCCTCAACCCCATTCCCCCCACCCCCACCCACGTCGTCCCCAGCAGTGCACCACCGCCTCCCGCCCCCGCCTTCCCCAGCCATGGCCTCCCTCCGCCCCCTCGATGCCGGAGCAAACGCCCCCCAGCCCCAGCAGCCCCCTCCTCCGCAGGGTCCCTGGGGTCCCGCACATTCGGGGTCCCTCATCAAAGGCGAGTCCGACGTGATCAATTTTGTTTCGTGTCTGCACCTTTCTGACTTTATCTTTTGGCCGCCGTTAGAGAACGAGCACCAGCACCGCCGCGAGCGCAGTAATACCACCACGTCCTTGCCGCCTGCCGCTGAGGATATGAGCATGGACGAGCGTCACCGCAGGGACCGGGACCGGGAACGTGAAAGGGAGGGAGAACGAGAGAGGGAGATGATGCACCGCCCCAGCCGCACACATACGCCAACAGCAAGCATGACGCGCGTCGCCCCCGTCCCTGCGGTAGGCTCCAACCCTGCACTTGCGCAAGCCTCGCCCCCGCTCGAGTTTCGCGGCCCAGGGGGGATGGGCGTTATGGGGGGGTATGATCGGGACCGGGACCGTGAAAGGGAGAGGGAGAGAGAGGACAGGGGGAGGGCCGAGTGGGGACGGGAGAGGGAGAGAGAAAGGGAAAGAGAGAGGGAGTATCACGAGAGGGAGAGGGAGAGAGAGAGGATGTACCAGGGCTACGCTATGCCCGACCGCGAGCGCGAAAGGGAAAGGGACAGAGACCGCGAACGGGAGCGCGAGATGGACCGCACGCGCGAACGTAAGCGCAGCGGCAACACCAGCGAACGCGACCGCGAGCGGAGCAACCCGCCACACACCCACATGCACCACCACCCTCCCCCACTCCCCCAACCCCACCTACACCTCCACGGGCCCCCTCCTCCCCTCCCGCAGCACCTCAAGCACCCCTCCCAACAAAATCAAGGCCAAGCGCCCAGCTACGCGCCGCCCCCGCCCCCCCAGCCAATGGTCGGCCCGGGCCTGCCCCCGCCGCACCACGCCCATCCCTCGCCCCATCCACACCATGCGCCCCACCCCCACTCCCAGCACCACGTGCACCCGCCCCCGCCCCCGCCGAGACAAGAACTCCCCATTCTGTCGCTTGCTCCACCGCATCTGCAGAAACAGGTGAGCATATCGCAGGGGACGGGCAAGTTCCACACGCAGTTCGTTAGTGCGGGCTCGGGGAGCCGCGTCGGGTCGCCGGTGCCTGGGCTGCCTAAGGACAGGGAGAGGGAACGGGATAGGGACAGGGCGGAGAGGGAGCAGAGGGAGAGGGTCGAGAGGGAGAGGGCGGAGAGAGATAGGGAACGGGAGAGGGCGGAACGGGATAGGGCTGAGAGGGAGCGCGATCGGGAGCACAGAGAGCGCGAGCATCGGGAGCGGGAACGCGCCGACCGCGAACGCGAACCCGCCCCCGCACCAAAACGCAACAAACCCACCCCCGTCCCCCCCGCGCCCGCCATCGACCCCGCCCTCACCCTCACCCACGACCAACAACAACAACAGCAGCAGCAACAGCGCGAGCAGGAGTGGTGGGGCGCCGCCGCACCGCACGCCCCGCCGCCGCCCCCGGGGCCCCACACGCACCAGCAGCACCCGCACGCCCCTCCCCCGCCGGAGTACGCGCACAGCATGCACCCGCAGCACCCCGTGCACCCGGGGTACTACGTGTACCCGCCGGAGGAGGCTGCGTTCTATGAGGAGCGCGAGCGGGCGGAGCGGGAGCGTGTTGGTATGGATAGGGCGGAGAGGGAGAGGGTGGAGCGGGAGAGGGCGGAACGGGAGAGGGGGTTGGAGAGGGAGAGGGAGAGAGAGCGGGGGCCTGGGGGGGGCTGGGATTGGAGTGTCGGGAGGAGGGGCGCGTATGAGGGAGCCCCTGCTGGACCGCCGTCTTTGCCGATACCCATGCCCATGCCCATGCCTGGAGCTGGGGCGATGGAAGGCGGGGCGATGATGGGGGTGGAGCTTGAGAGGGAGATGGTTAGGGAGAGGGAGGGGAGGGAGAGGGAGGAGAGGGAGAGGGAGCTGGAGAGGGTGGCGGAGAGGGAGAGGGAGGTGAAGGCGAGGGTTACGGTTCATCTGGGGACGTTTGTGTGGCCTAGGGTGCCGTTTCCTTATTTCTTTGGGGCGGGTGGGGTTGGTGTGGGGGCGGAGACGGGGAAGGAGAAGGTTAGGGAGGTGAAGGAGACAGAGAAGGAGAAGGCTGTGGAAGAGCCTGTAAAGGAAACAGAAAAGGAAACAGAGAGGGAGGCGAAGGAGACAGCAAAAGAGAAGGAAACCGATAAAGAGGAGGGCGAGCTCGAAGCGGGCGAGGTAAAGGAGCTAAAGGAGGGCGAGAAGATGGACGTCGACGCTCCTCCCGCCCCCGCCCCCGAAAAAGCTATAGAGGCGCCAAAAACCCAACCCACGCCTCCCCCCACCACCTCCCCTTCCCTCCCCAAACCCCCCTCCCCCCCCCTCCTTCTCCCGACATCCACATCCCCCCCCACCCCCGCCCCCAAACCCAAAACCCAATACACAACCTCCCTCACCACCCTCACCACCCTCCTAATCCCGCCCTCCTTCCTCCCGCCCTCCCCCGCCCGCCCCGCGAAGCTCAGGCTCTGGGGCGGTGGCGACCCGCGGCGGAGGGTGTACACGGACGACTCGGACGTGCTGGCGTGCGCGGTGCATGCGGGGTGGGCGACGTGGAGCGGGTTGGGGCGCGCGCGGGGGGAGGGGTGTGCGGCGCGCGTGGAGGTGCGCGTTATTCGGTGCGCGGGGGCGCCGGAGCTTTGTTTGGATGGGGAGGTGCAGGTGGGGAGGGCGGCGGGGGAAGGCCGCGGGGAGGAGGAGGATATGAGGGAGGAGGTGGTGGGGCGCTTTGCGGGCGGGAGGGGGGCGGCGTTCCGTGGTGCTGATGCGCAGGGGCATGGGGTGGACCCGGCGGACGATGGGAGGGGCATTGTGAGTGCGGGGTGGGGCGCTGGGCACGATGGGAGCGCGATTGAGGTTGTTGGGTTCCGGTTTGAGGTTCGTGTTTTCTCTTTTTCGTTTTTATTATTATGTGGGCTGACATGGTATATTATATGTGTAGAAGGGACTCCCGGGCCTGAGGACGAGAAAACAGCGGATGGCGGAGTACTTGGGGAGGAGGGCGTGTGTCGTTGGCGGCTTGCCCTCGCCCGCGCCTGGTCGCACGGCGCCTGTTGTCGCTATCACGGGCCCACCGCGCCTCGCGGGACGGAAACGACGCCGGGGGTGGGACGCTCCTATCCCGGCGCTGAGGAGGAGGCTGCCGAATGCGGTGGAGCTGGATAGCGTTGAGGAGGAGGAGGAGCTGGAGAATGGGGCGAGGTACCATCCGGACCCGGAGGAGGACGCGCAGATGAGGGTGCAGACTGTCACGTTTGGTGTTGGGCCGAAGGGGGACGTCGAGCCCGGGTGCGTCTTCTTCCGTCCTCCTTCCTTCCTTTATTCCATCCCTGACGTATTTATGTCCCGCAGATTCAAATACGATCCCCCGACTCTCAAATCCGTGCTCTTCCCGCCGGAGATAAGCACCTTCACGCACCCGCCGCCGCCCCCGCGCAAGCGCCGGAAGGTCGCGGTGGCGCTGGACCCGGATATGAATATCGATGCGCTGCTCCCGCCCGTGAGGAGCGTGGTTCTGGAGACGGGGAAGGAGAGGTACCTCTTGTCGCCGAGTGTGGGGACGCTGTTTGTGGAGTATGATGTGTCGTTGATACTTGAGGGGGACGGAGGGGAGGGGGAGGGGGAGGTGGTGGAGGAGGGAGGGGAGAAGGAGGGGGCAGAAAAGGAGGGGGGGGAGGTGGAGGTGTGCCATGAGGAGGTGCCGGCACCAGCAGCGGACAAACCTGTACCAATAGAAGAAACCTCCAAGGCGCCAGAGGATGCACCCGTCGACCCCCCTGCACCGACAGATCCCTCGTCAGCGGACGCCCCCAAGCCCGCCGAGCCCCCCACTCCCACCGCCGACACCGACCTCGCGCCCCCGGGCCCCCCCTCGTCCCCCCCACCCCCCGTGTCCGCATCCGTGTCTGTAGACGCGCCAGAAGCGGAGGAGGACCCGCCCGTGCAGCTGCTCCTCCAGACGCTGCAGCGCAACCTCGGCGTCGACATGTTCCGCTTCACCGAGGAGGGGGTGTATGTCGCTGATCTTGTGGCCCAGGACGAGCATGTTGCTCTGGTGGACGGCGCAGGGGGGACGACAGGAGGGGAAGGAGGGGGAGACGTGGATATGGATATGGATATGGATGTGGTGGGGGATGCGGAGGAGCAGGAGGTGGTGAGGACGGAGTGGGTCGTTCAGGTTAGGAGGTGGAAGTGGGGTCCGGAGGGGCAGGAGCTCCGGTGAGGTGTGCTGGCGGGAAGGGGTGGTGTGGAGTTTGTTTTGTGCTTTGTCTGCTTTGGAGATCTACTTACTACTTATAATGATGCGGTTGCTAAATACGAGAAAGAGCTTGCTTTTGGAGATCTGGGGATGTTTGAGTACTGCTTCGATTTGGCGCGCGTGCGTGTGGCGCTTTGGTGCATGATTGGTTCTGTTCCGGGTAGGAGGTCGGATCTAATACTTCGACGACCACTGGCGCAAATGCGTTGGAGTCAAAGTTGGTGATGGTAGATAGAATGCCTTTGGGAGCTTGCGTGCGAAGCTACTGTTCATTTTACATCAGATTTCGGCGAAGGCTTTCATATGTATCTAACCCTTTCGTATGCAGCACGCTGCACTCTCTATCTTCATCTGTATGCCCGCCTGTTCCAAGACAAATCTTCATGGGCACATGGTGTAGTTGGTTATCACGCCCGCTTAGCATTGCGCTGAGTGCGGGCGGTCCCCGGTTCAATTCCGGGTGTGTCCATTGATGTGTAGAGTTCGTCGTAATTTTTTCTTCTCCTGTCTTTGTTTTCTTCACATTGGTGAAAAAAGTTTCAAGTGACTTCAAATTCTTGGCCAACGTGGGGATCGAACCCAAGACCTTCGCGTTATTAGCACGACGCTCTAACCAGCTGAGCTAGTCGGCCAGATGACGGTCTACTCCTGTATTGTACTGTAGTCGGTCATTCAAAATCCTTACACCATATTATCAGCAATTGTCACTGCCTACGGCTCCCGCAACTTTGGACTTGGACCCGGGCGATAGCGCGCCACCCATGCACAAGTATGAAGCGCCATGCACGACTCGCTCGGAAGTTCGAATAGGTTTGAATCCTACTTTCAGCGGCTTCTCTCTTACCCTCCCTGTACCTCCAGTGGGATTTACGATCGACTGCTGACCCGTCAACCCACAACGTACTTTGCATGCTGTATCAGGGATCCATGCAAATACTAAGCATCACGGACGACATAGGTGGGCCCTGATGTCGTATCTGAGTCGCCCCCGACGCCAAAGGTTACCGCTGATGCTAATCAGGTGTCGTTATAGGGAGTCTATCAGGACTTGCAAATCCATCACGATCCTGATATGCCTGATCTCGTTCCAGGACTCATGACCATGTCGGTGTGAGCTCCCGCTGTATGGTCTCAGTTCGGTCGCTGATTGCCATGCACCGGCCGTATCGATCACTGTTGTGGTGATCTTACGGTCTCGACGATCCAAATGGACATGGATTTTGTGGATGTCATATACGAGCTTGTACTGGCCAGTCCTGGTACGCTGACTGCCCGTGTTCGTGCTGCTTTCGATCGCGATAGAGACCCAGCCAAGTCTCCGCTTCCTTCTGCAGTGTTTGATCTTTCAGAGTTCTCAAGGAAATAATTCTATAGTCCTTCTGGAATCTGGATCGCCTAGTGGTAACTTAATCGTGACGGACCCTGGGTCAGGCCTTGCTGTATAAACGCCTAGCCATCATATTTTGTTTCTCTGTCGCTCTGCTGGTCAGATCAGTCCTACACCGCAAGCTCACATACCTGCCGGCCAAACCCACCTAGAACTCTTGCACACACATTTGTATGATCTTTCCTCCCGACACCCGCGAATCACCAGGACCACCACCACGAAGACCTCTACCATTACCCCCGCCGTCCTCGCGTGCCTCTTGCCGCCCTCTCCACAGGCGCGACCCCCATTCCTGCACATTGCCTTGCTGTTCGCACCCTCGCTGCCTCCCCCAGTGACGCACTTTACGTGCGTGACGTTGGAATGCTCGGTGTGGTAGCTTTCAGAGGACGTCGAGGCTCGGTAGTACATCCGCATGCCATCAGGCCGTTTCGACACCGGACATGTAATTCCCACTGCTTTACTTCCCAAGCCACGCGCCCTCGACGATCTCGGGGAGCTTGAGACTCGGTACATTCATATGCCACCAGGTCGTTTCAGCACCGAAAGCGTAATTTCTGCCTCCCTCCTCCGGACTCGCGCCCTTGCCTTGACGATCTTGGGGAGCTCGAGGCTCGATTCGCAGTTCCACAATTGGGTCCGAAATTTGCCCCCTTTGCCCAACCCATCCGTATAGGAGCTCCTCGTGTAACTCTTCGCGACGTGGAGGATGAGGCCCTCGAAGCCCGTTCCCGTAAGCCTCTCTGGAAGATTTGTCAATTGCGCCAGTGATACAATTGCTTTTAAATGACCAAAGCGATTCTGGCGCTGTGCGCAGGGGAGAATTTCTTGTGTCACTCAGTTCCCTTGTGATAACTTGCGATGAAGGAAATTGGGAGTGGATAGATGGACAGATTCGATCACGCCGCTGCATCGCGGGGCCGTTTAAGAAGTTTTCAAAAAGTGGTATTAATAAGAAGTGAAGAAGTCATGTACGGCGAAGGAAAGGATAAGCGGGCAAGACTCAGAGTAAATGGCTCAAAAAACAGTTGGTGGGGATGTTGACTCGGGCGACCTGGCGGCGGCGAATGTTGGTCCGAAATTCGATAGGAAAACCTTCGCCTTGTCAAGAGATTCGTGTCAATGCGTTTGCAAGGAATATTCAAGTAGTAGTATGTACGTGAGATAATTTACATAAAATCAACGGCTCTCTTGCGCCCCCTCGGCGGCTCATTATCAGGTTTGTTCTCTGACTCCGCATGTTGTGGCGGGGGTAGCGAAGCCAGATCTTTTACCGCCTGTGGCGCGGGCTTCTCCACCCACATCCCCTCATCATCATCATCATCCCGTCGCTCCTTGCGCTGTTTCTTCTTCTTTGGTCGGTCCTTCGATGGTTTTGGTAGAGGTTCATCGCCACCCTCTTCATCCATGGCAAACGAGAGCACAGCACGTTTTTCCCTTTTCCTTTTTTCCTTCTTCTCCTTCTTGCCCTTGTCACCATCACCCACTTTATTGCCATCTCTGTCCTTCTTCGCTTTGCCTTCCCGTGGAATGAAAGTCGGTTTGAACGAGCTAAGATCCACAGGTCCTGTATCAACAGACTTTGGTGTAGGGAAAACTTCTGGAGGAGGGCCAAGACCTGACGTAGTCGCAGCTACAGCAAGCAGAGGCGTTGGTTCTACTTCGGGCTCCTCCTTCTCGCTTTCATCGTCATCGCTATCCTCGTCATCACTGGCGAATATCGCCTTGAAGACATCCATCGCTGGCCTCTCATAGGTGAGGGTGTCCCGTCCCTGATCATCATCCTCACCCAAACCAATATTGGAGATGTCCCTGGGCCCATTTCGAGTTCCGCTCAACGATGGGCTCTCTTCTGTGCCACTCGCAGGCGCCATTGGAATATCGGGCTGCTGCCAATTCGACCCAGGCACCTCTACCTCTGGCTCCGGATTCGGGTCGCGCACCTTGAAGCGTTTGCAAAGAAGCTTTGCAGGCTGCCACGGCTTTGTCTCGCGCGTTAAAGGGCCGTACATTCCCATCCGTGCCGCATGTGCCTTGGGGCTGAGGTTCTCCTCCTCCTCCTTCTTTCTCTCCTCCTCTTTCCGCGCGTTCTCTTCGTGCGACGGTGTGTGTAGTCCTTCGTGCATCTTTGGCCCGTGATCCATCACAGCGGCGCTTGTGAATCGCCCTGCCATTGCACTGGACATGGGCTTAAACAGCAGAGCGGCCTTGGCGTAGTCCTCGACCTCCTTATTGAATTGGTCTATCTGCTGGTTTGACAGTGGCTGCAGAGCAGGCCCAGCATCGATCCCGACCTGAGACTGCAGGTAAGTGTTGTAGCGCGATTGTTTGGCGGGATCATTGGCAAAGGGTTGGAACCCGCGGAGGGCAGCTTGAGCAATTTGTGGCTCGGTACGCGGAATCCTGATAGTATCAGGCAGAGGTGCAGGTGCAGAAGCGCCTGGGTTGGTAGACGGAGGGTGGTCTTTGGTAGCAGCAATGTTCTGAAGTCGTTCTCGATCCTTCTTGGACATAAAATCGAAGACAGAGCGGGGTGCAGAAGGGAGAGGAGTTTCTCCAAGCATGGCACCTCTCTAGATTCAATGATAAGCGTATATTTATGGGGCGTGAAACTTTGTGCATACCTCATCCGCTGTGATTTTCGAGTCCCACCCTCCTGGCACGCTTCGGGACTCTGCTGTGGCACTTTCCTTATTCATGCCCTTGTCCCAGACACGGCGAGGGTTTGGCGTCCAGCCTTGGGGAATATCAGGTAACGGAAACCTAGCTGATTTTAGAACAGCGAGAGGTGGTAATGGGAGAACACTCACCAGCGATCTTCTGAGACTGGCTTTTCTGAGAGGATAAAACCGGGTAGCACAGCTTGACCGTCTCGAAACACTGCTACCGACGTGGCTGGTCGCTTTGGTATGTGAAAAAGAAGGTTTGCAAAAGTGAGATGAAGTACTCACGTTTGGAGCCTTGGTATGTTTTTCTGTCCTTCCGCTAATCGTTATCGAGTCGTCCTGCTCGCGTTCCGAGATGTCGTAAGCCTCGCGTCGTCTATTGCTGGAGGCACCGCCATCATATACATCCAGATCGTCTTCGTCAGCGTCGTTTAAAGCTCCCAGACCAAAGCCAGCTAAAAAAAAAAAATACTATTAGAAGGTGAACATTGGATCAGTAAGCAACACACCAGCAAGTCGAGGTCCCTTAAAGCTCTCAGAGCCGCCTTTACCTCCTGTACCCTCATGTAGCCCCATTCCTGGATTGTAGCCCAGACCATGAGAGTTGTCTTTCCGTTCGACCAGAAGTATCGGAGTATCTCGGGGCGCATACGTATGTTTAGAAGCTTCCTCGTCATCGTCCGGTATGTTGGCCAGATCACTTGAAACACGTCCTCCAAAAGATAGCTGCATGTCCTGGAACTTCCGTTTGCGTAGTGATATGCGGGGACCTATGCCTTGACCCAAACGCCATCCCATCTTCTTTAGTATACGTGCACCAGCAGAATCCGAGGGCGGGGGAAGAAGAGAGGACTCGAGGGCAGAAGCAATAGAACTGCAAGATGAGGGTAAGTTGCTGAGACCATAGAAGAAACTGATTACTCACTCTTTTTCGGGCTCGTCGACGCCTGATTTACTGCCTCCTGTAAAGTCCATCTCATCTGCAGTATCCACCAACTTTCGATTGTCTTTCAGCTCTTGCAGATCTTCCTCGTCCATAAAGTCTTCCGGACGTGCAGCCTTCTGTTTCGCTCTGTCGCCTCGGGAGGACACGAACGTGGCCGGGGCCCATCCTGGAACGGGTGTTAGATATAGAACATGTTATTGGTCCCGTTACTTACCTTCTTTAGACCCAACTGTGTTGAAATATCCCGCAGAGAAGCCACCTGTGAATGCTCCATGAAGTCGCCGCCGACCCTTTTCATCTCTGACCTGGATATTGAAGAAATAAGCGCATTGTCAGCATGATGCAGCAGATACGCACATCCTGCTTCCAGAGAGGCACAAATTCTCCCGTGTCCTTTGATTTTTCGAGCGGAGGCAATGGCGTACCGATCTAGTAGATTATAGGTGAGAGCTAGCAAGTTACAAGTGGAA